TTATTAATAGTAGTAGCATTTGCAGCAGATAAGGAAGGTGAAGGTGTTGTTTGTTGTTGTAGTGAATTAGATGTAGGCGTAGGTGACGATGGCTGCGATGATGGCGTATTTGTAGCAGAAGTTGATAAGATGTTTGATATTCCAGTAGCGTTTGATGGTGGGGTCAAAACTTCCTTATTTAACAATGGTGATAATGCTGGAGGCGATTTTTTTTTAGTTTCTTCAATTTCAGAGATCGCGATTTCTGGAGTAGAAGTCGTTGAAATGGTTTCTTGTTAGAAATCATTATTAATACTTATGTTGTTGTTATCATTTATAAATGACTTGTTCACCGTCAGATCAATCGTTCCTTTTTTTTTTTGAAATATAATATAATAATGCTTTCTATTTTGTCGCGTAACAAAATTGTTCTCCATCAGATCAATCATTTAACCCTAGATCCTTTTTCTTTTTGAAAAAGAAAAAGAAAATTAACTAATGTTAAAACAACAAAACAACAACAACAACAACAACAATATCATTATTCTATTTTGTCGCGTAAACAAGATTTTTCACCATCAGATCAATCGTTCAACCCTAGATACCCTAGATCCTAATGTTTTCTGTTTTGTCGCGTAATAAGATTGTTCATCAACGGATCAATATAATAATAACAATATGAATAGCTTTATGAAATATTCGTAATTCAAAAATTCCAAAATTCATAATAATTACGAATACCCTTATTCGTTACTATCACTCTTATTTATTTATTTTAATTACTTGTAATTATTATATCATTAATATAATTTGTATAATTAATAAATAAATATCTTATTAAATCATTATTACTACTATTACTATTACTTGAATATCCAAATAATCCAAGTATCCAAAATGATTGCAAACATCCATAATGATTACGAAATGAATTTAAATACTGTATATTCGAATATTCGTAAATAGATTGATATCAAAAAGCATTGATTTTGGTTAGAAATATTAGTTGCAAGAACCACATTGTGTTGCATGATGAATTAGAAAAAATCGAAAGAGTCCAAGCAGGATTTTTAAGAAAATTGAGGATGGTAAAAATTTTACTTTAATGAAGAAATTGACTTGGCACATATCACATTTCTTGCTGCTAATAAATTACAAGGAAAAGTTGGTTGCAAAACCAAGAAATGAGGTGGGTTTAAAAGAGTTAGAAGGCTACACCGAATAAGAAAAAATGCAAATTTCGAACTGAAAAGGGAAGAAATGCAAGACACTTACAAATTAGAGAAAGCCGAAATTGGAAAGGTACTCTCAGATAATATTCTAGATTTTTGATAAATACTTGAATTCAAAGAAAGAGGGGGTTTTTACATAAAATTATATGCATGACAAAATAATAAACAAATATCCCAAGGTGTTAAACAAAAATGAATTGAAAAGAATGTTTTACCTTGCTGGTGAAGGCTTTAAATCAAATCGACGGCATCGTTTACTTTTATTAGAATAGCTTGAATATTCAAAAGGCTTTTATTAAAAAACATAAAGTGCAGCAGAAGAATTTAAAGTTCATGAGTTTGCTTGTTTGCGGGTCAAAAATTCAATCAAGAATTAGGGCAAAATAAAGAACTAGGTAAACAAATGAATTTGATTGATTTCAATAAACACAATCACAAAAATTTAGAATTTATTGAAAGAAATTTATAATGACTCCCGCAATAAAGAACTTATCGAAGCAGGAGAATTTCCTCTTATCCGCTTTAAAAATATTGAAAATATTAGAAAAAAACAAGCCTTAGAGAAAGTTTTACTATGAAAAGTAAGGGAATGGGATTTGTCGCCCACGAAACTGAAAAATTGTCAGACCCGTGAATTAATGCGGATACCGCCCAACCAAAGAAATTCTTTTGGATAAATATTATTATTGATTTTGGCACCTTCAATTTTGCTTTATTGGCTTCGCTACTGATTCCGAAAAAATGTAGGTTGGGCGGAAAAGGAGTGTATATATTAGTAAAAGAAATGGTGATACAATTGTATGTTTCACACAGCTTTGACCCTGTAATTTCTTTGCGACATAATAATAATAATAATAATAATAATGTTTGTCTGTCCCATACATACCAAGAAATATAGAAAAAGGGCTGAAAAATTTGCCCGAGTTAGACCAAATCCGACTTATCAAGTGACTAACTTTATCGAGTTTATCTGCGTATTATGTGAATATTTTACCCAAATTAAGAAGATATTCACGTTTCTCAAATCTTCAGCACATGAGCTCAATTGACTTTCAACTTGGCATTTCCTTTTTGAGGAATGACTTGATACATTCTAGAAAATAACATTTTTCTATATGGAAAAAGAAAGTTTTAATTTAAGTGCAAAATTTGTATTACAGGGCTCATTATTATATTATTTAGTAATAATAGTAATAGTAAACAAAAACAATAAAACAATAGTAATAGTAATAATAATAAATTAATATTTGTATTAGCATAGAAAAACCACCCGATGGAAATTTTGTTACTGCGTGCATAATTAAAAAAAAATTTTTTCTCCTATTCTGGTGACAATAATAATAATTATAAAGCTTGCTACGACTATTACATTCTTCTATAAAAAAAAAAATTAATTTCAAAAATAGTATATATAGTCTCGATTATACTTTTAATTCCACAAAAAATCAGTTATTATTCAAATCAATCAATCAGTCAATCAATCAATCAATCAAATTTCAACTTTAATACAATATGTTTTTTACAAAATTTTTAATAAAAGATTATAATAGAGCAGAAGAATGTGACGATGGTGATGATGTTACAATTGATATTTTTGTATCAATTTGCAAATATCTTGATTCTTACGAATTGTTAAAGTTAGAATGTGTTTGTACAAAATTCTGTGACTATTTACGTTCAAAACGTCCAGCTATTGAAATGTTATGGAAACATTCAAGAAATGATGATGATGATGATAAAACTTTGAGTGGAATGTCAGAAAGAGATTACGCTAAATTATTGTGTATTAAAAATGGATGTCAAAAATGTAGAGAAGTTAATGACGTTTGTGTTTATTTTATACCAAGAGTACGTCTTTGTAAACCTTGTTTAGCACAAAATGTATTCAGGTAATAATATTTATAATTTTATTAATATTTTAGTTAATAATATAATAATAATAATAAAATTAATAATATTTTTTTTAAAATATAGAGAGAAGGATTTTATTGATTGTAATAAAGATATTTTAAAAGCAATTCCTACAGTATGCCATCAAGACCCTTGGGGAAAAGGAGAAAAACACTATTGGAAACTCGATTATTATAGAATGGAGAAATTGTTTGAATTGTCAGGCGATGATGAAAAAAAATCCAAATTACTTGAAGAGAAAGAAAAAGAATCAAAGTTAATAATTAAAGATGACGAGGAAAGACATAACAAAATAATGAAAAAGATCATCATTATGAACAATAAAGAGAAAGAAGATACTAATATAATAAATTCACATGATATTGAAGAAACTGAACAACTAATGATAGAATTAGCTACCAGGTTATCATTAGGTGAAACTGTAAATCATTATTTGTTCTCAAACGGGGAAAACGAAATTGAAAGTGATGATAATGGACCTAATAACGACGACAGTCTTGATTCCTCCATTGATTCGGATTCCAATGATGATGATGTTGATGATGATGATGATGATGATGATGATGATGATGATGATGATTACCTTGGATTAAATTTAGGATTAAGAACAAGATGGGATATTATTCGAGAAGCTCAGATTATTCAATCTTTTAATCAAGAATCGCCTGATGATGATGATATAGAAGAAAGTGACGACGATGATTATAACTTTATAGCCGAATCTATTTTAAGAAATTCATATATGAATTTTACTTCTTTATTTTCCAATGATGATCATTTTCCAAATCCTGATGACTCTGATCTAACACCACCAGGAACAATTATGCAATTACCATCAATAAGCAATATTATTAATGATGATGTTTCTCCATTTGGTCATTTAAATTTTGGCGGAGAATCCTCAATTACTCTTGGGCTTTTGTATAGAGGCTTGTCCTTGTCACCTAGAAAACAACGACAAAAGTTCATTTTATCTTGTCTAAAAGATAGAACACGAACATATCAACGATCACCATCAAACAACTCTATTGAGATATGGCATCCTATCTATGAATTTCTTGATTTACTTCCATCATTTATAAATCCACAATTTTTCATTGTCAATAATAAGAATTGGGTGAATAAACATATTGTACCTAAACTTTTACAAGAAGCAACCAACGTACAACGAAAAGCTAAGTTAGTTGGTGGTCCTGGTCATATCACAACAGTTAAAGGTGCTTTGAATCATGGCAAATTAAAGGATTCGCCTGTATTTTTTTGTGTTCTATGTAATATACACAGATTGAATACTTACGAAACTATACAAAATCATTTAGCTAGTAATCATGATCATGATGGTGATGGTGATGGTAATAATATAGGCGTAGATAGTGATATTGTTGTTGACCATTTTGATGAAGCCTTCTTATAACTACAATTAATTAATTATTATTATTAGTTATTATTTTATAAAGTAGAATAATTTAAAAAATTTTATTATTATTATATTTTTTTATATATGTATTATAGCAAATTATTAATCATCACTCGTGTATACTATTTCTTTTTTGTATTTCCTTACTATAAATAAACAAAAAATATTATTAATCATGAAAGCAATTCCATTGTCTGGTTTTGTTGTATTTATATATGCTTTAAATTTCGTCGACGATCCCCAAAAATCAAAAATTAATATTAATAATATAAATTCAGAGTTAGACGGTTGATAAATAATAACGTCATGCATAGTAAATAAATAGATAACCATGATGAAATTGTCACATCACTAATAAAAATAAATATGAAAGAAAATTAATTTGTCTTAACAAAAAAAAAAAATGATTCTGGAAAAAAACAATAATCAAGCACATCAAGAACAAGCGATACGAGAAACAAGAACATCAAGATACAATAAACCGATGGCAAAAATAACAGCTCTTGATCATTTATCATTGTCACAACGTATGATGCGAATTTTCAAAGGAATGCCACCAGAAGGTTATCCGTTGGCTATAGTTATTGTTGGAGGATTAAGCGGCGGTGTATTTGCACTTACACACAGTTATTTGAAACATCGAAAATTGTCAAGAAATTTAGATTAAAGTTTCTCTTCTCTTGAAAAGAGAGAATCTTCTTGTTAAAATAAAAATAAAAATTTTTCTTTTTGTAGTATTTTTAATTAAATTTTTTTTTCTACAAAATATTTTCGAATTACAAATGAATGTATCGAAAAAAATATATTTTTACAAAGAACGATAATTAAAATTAGTCTATACAAATAAAAATAAAAGGTACTAAAAACTCTCAAATATCTAATTGTTTCATACACACACAAATATCATTACACACACACATACATTAAAATTAAGTGTTACGAGGTTTACAAACAATGCTAGAATTATCAGTTTGACATATTAATACACCAGGACAATTTCTTGTTACTATTTTACCATTATCACAAGTTTCGAATGCTGGACTAGTGCCAGATTTAACACATGTCATTGATCCATTAACCTTGCAACCTTTATTGTTGTTGTCGTCATTTGATGGTGTTTCAGTTGGCGCGGCTGGTTCAGAAGTTGATGATGTTGTTGGGGCATCGGGTTTTGATGGTTTTGTAAGCTTTGGTTTCTTTGGCTTATCATTGTTGTTATTATCACCACCAATGTTAAGGTTTAAATTTGCTTTGACATCTTTTGCAAGTGGGCCGGATCCTTTTGCATTGCCGGTATTAGCATCATCACCTTCAGGTGTTATTATTTTAGTGAATAAAGGTGGGAAATTTGCTTTTGTAATATCAATGATTGGCAATGGTTTTGTTGAATTTCCGACAATTTTAATATCAGCACAATTTTGATAAAATTCACGATTACCAACGGCATTTATCCAAGACCAAGAGAAAATACATTTGCCAGGTTTATTACAACTGGGGGCACTATCGGGTATTTTAACTTTCCATCCGGTAAAGAAAATATCAGGACAAGTTTTATGATAAGTTGCTATCTTTGTGTAAGTATCACCACCATCATAACTCAATGCAAATTCGCACTGTCCACCATTGTGTCTTGCTTGATCAACCGAGGGGTCTGCTTTCGATGGATCGGGAACATTTTGATTAAAGAACTTGACATCAATCACTTGACCGGCTTTAAATGTTGTAACAACTTTTTTATCAGCTGGATAACCGCCACATGGAAATTGTTTCTTGGGACATGATCCACCACCATTCAATGGAGCCATTATACATTCTAGATCTTTAATTGCTGCATTAGGGTTTAATGGATGAGCTCTTGGAGGAGGGAAGGACATGGTTGTGTGTGCACTAACTGAAGCTACCAATGCTGTAAGAAAAGCAATTCCAATAGAAAACTTCATTTTTGGAGAAGAAAAAAGATGATTGTGGTGTGTGTGTTTGGAAAAGAAAATTTGTATTTTATAAGAGGATTAGAGAGAAGTTTTCTACTAGCCTGCTAGTTAAAAAATAATGTGTATGTGTGTTATAAATATATTATATATATTATAAGCCCAGCCTGGGGTTTTATTAGAAAATTGAGAGAACGAGTGCGTACGATATTTTAGATATTTGTAGAGAGATTAGTACCTGATTTGTATGTGAGAATTTCCCTCAAGGTAAAAAAATGATGTATTTATATATTTTACAATTCATAATTTAATATAAATATTTATCCTATATTAAGAAATTTATATTTGATTTGAAACCTTTTTTTTTCACACTAGAAATACAAAACCGGCCGTGAAATAAACAATACATATATGCGATTCGATCTCTCAAGCAAATAATATGAATTATTTTTATTTCCTTTGTTGACCAAAACTTTAATAGTTATTATGGTAAAATTAATATTAATATTATTCTATTTTGGTAAAACTCAATGTGAATGTTAACAATTTGGGAATTTTATTCTTTGTTAGGAATTTGCAATTTAACACAAAGACTATAAATAAAGATTAAATTTTTATTTGTGTTCTGAAACCAAATCATTGTCGCACAAAATAAATTTTTGTATTCTATTATGAACAAAGTCATTAAATTCCATTTATTGTATTTGTATGCCACGATTTTCGGCCAAGACTGTATCAAATGATGATTACCCGGATTAGTAATAAATGCAAAATTAATATCTTATCTACGTAGATTATTTGATAAATTGTGGAGTTTTATTCAATAATATAAAAAAAATTCGAATAATTAATCAATTAATCAATATTTTCAAATTCCAATCAATTCAAGCATTTTTTAATATTAAAATTCAATTCTTCTAATAAACATTATTCTAGTCGATATTTCACCAATGCAATTTCCAAACCTTTTATTCAAGTATTAATTTGTCCTTGCTTTTCTTTTTTCAACTCTCTGGAACTAATGATTAATCGTATTCTTGTAGCCTCAGGAGTACCACTATTAATATTAATATTGTTGTTGTAGTCGTTGTTATTATCATAACTATGATTATAAATGGAAGATTGTCTAATACAACTATGGCTGTTGGTTTTTTTATGAGTTCTTTTTACTCTTTTATTTAGAGAATAATTTGCTAATAAAGATGATCTACCACTTTTCTTATTGTATTCGTCTGAACTAGAACTTTCTTCTTCTGTCACAAATTCCATGACCTTCTCAATAATTAATTAATTAGATGTCGAATTATTTGAATAGATGAATTTCTTATCAACCAATCAAATTCACTCATTCATTCATTCATTTACCTCTTCGTAATTAAAACTTGAATTAGAAAATATTCGATCTTCTTGGATTATTTCTTTCTTTCTCTTATCTTGTTGTGATAAAGGTTTTAAATATCCACTAAATCCATGAATAAGATTGCCACCTTCTTCCAAGTATGAACTTTCATTTGTATAAATCTTTTTTTCAATCGTCATCTAATAAGCAGCACACTATTAATAATAGATTAAAATATTAATTAGTAGAAAAAAAAAAAAAATCTTACTAAACTATCTTCTAAATTTTCCCTTCGTTTCATCAATTCATCAAGTTCTGCTTCAGCTTCCTCATATACCTGTCTAGTAACTAATGGCGGTGTTGTGGTCGTTGTTGTGGTCGTTGTTGTTTTTAACTTAACAAATGAAATAAAATAAAATATTATTATTATAACACTAATTGACGAAAATAAATAATGCTTGTTTGGAATTTTTCATATACCAAAATATTATCACTAACATCAGGCATTTTTATTTTATTTTCTTAAAAATGATTTTTTTTTTTATGTTTATGTTGGAAATATTGTGAAACAATGACATCATTATGGTTGTTATCATATTATCATGTGATATAAACGTTGATTTATTAGGATAACCTATCAAATGGCTAATGCTAATGATATTAATTATTACAAATAATACCTACATTCATGCCTTTTAATTTATCTCTACAAATAAATACTAATTCCCTAGTGCTAGATTCGTTAATATTAGACAATTTGAAAATAAACAACACCATTTTCCACCATTAGATTATCATTGATTGGATGATGATTAATGTGTGGGAGTTTTTTAATTTATAAATATAAATGAATTATTTTACCTAAACCATTTGCATAAGATAAAACGCATGTTTAGAAATAATAAAAATTCTCTACAATGATCTGTTTGTCTGTTTTAGCATGATCAATTATTCTCATGTTTTCATATTAAATTTTAATTTCCCAATTAAAATGTTATAAAACAACTAGATCTTGACTATTCTAATGGTTGTTGTTTTGTTGCTATAAGATTTATAAAAAAATCGGGGCCAAGAAAAAAGACCTTAACAAAACGTGACCTTACAGAGTGTGTATCATATGGTAGCAGTTAGTATTAGTTAATTAAAATAGTTAAATATGGTTCTGCAACTAGGAGGTTGCAACTTGCTGTAAGCCTGCAACTTCAATCATTATAAACTGATCAACACAAAAAAAAAAGATTTAACATTTGCCGTGTCATGATCTCCTTCCAAAACTCGCAAGTCGTGCGACTTTCTCGTCGATTGTCTCCTTTTGCGTCTAGCCGCGCCTGGTCTTTTCGGTTTTTGGCGCGATCAACGTTTTCACCATATTTAGCAAAGAATGTGTCGTACGGCAAATGTTTTGTTTTATAAAACAGGTTACAATTGCAATTGAAACCAAAAAACCTAATTTTTTGGGAAGGAATTTTTTTTGTTTTCGTCAAAAAAAATTTTTTTATACGTGATTCTTTTTCTTTCTTTGATGATCAATGAATGTGAATACCTTTTTTCCACATGATGAACAATTTATCGTGCAATAGCAATAAATATCTTTTTCTCCAACCGAAGAGAACTGTTGGTAAGAATAAAAAATTTGTTTATTATATTTAAGAGCTATTTAATTTCAATAATTGAATTCATTGTTGTTTTTTGTTATTTATTTATTTTGTCATATATATATGCTACTTTTTGGTGATGGCGAAGCATCTTTCTTTTTTTTCGTTTAATATTTAGTTAGTGCATACTGTTGATTTGTTTATTTTACTTTTATAAGAAAAGCATCAGTCTATTATTAAAACCATTTTTACTATTGTTATCACTTGTCCTGTTTTTTTGGATTGTACCATTGATTTGTTTACTTTTTAAGAAAAGTGTTATGCGTTTAGTTTAATTAATTTTCTATTACTAAAAATGCTAAAAAACATTTTACGATTTACACAAATCATCATTTGTCCTGTTTTTTTTTGGAACGTACCATTGATTTAGAAAAGCATTATTATGTGTTTAATTAATTAATTATTTGTTTATTACCCAAAAATGCTATCACATGTCCCGTTTTTTTTTAAGAAAAGCATTATGCATTTACAATTGAATTGATTATTTGTTGTTACTAAAATGCTTTGACCACGTCTGTACATTCATTTTGCAAAGATGGATTGTAAGGTTTGTAAATCTTGACTTTAACACTTACTTTTGATCAAACCCGTCTATAATTATTGAATAATTGATAAAACATTCATTTTGCAAACTTGATTTGTAAATTCATAGACCTTGACTTTAACACTTACTTCAATAAACCCGCCTATATGATTATTGAATAATTGATAAACTTTCATTTTGCAAGCTTCATAGATCTTGTCCAACACTTACTTCGATCAAATCCTCCTATACGATTATTTAATAATTGATAAAGTGTTAATTAAATATATTTTACAAACAGCTTCATAGATCTCGGCTTTAACACTTATTTCGATCAAACCCACCTATATGATTATTGAATAATTGATAAAACGTTCATTTGCAAAACTTGATTTGCAAACTTCTTAGATCTTGTATTTAACACTTACTTTGATCACACCTATACAAACTATTGAATAATTGACAAACATTCATCAGTATATTTTACAAACTTCTTTGAAAGCTTCATACACTGTCATATATCTTCCACAAACCAATTGTCAACTCTACCTTTTCTATTGAATTATTTTGAATTTTTATTTTTTTATGTTTACGCAGGATTACACAATAAAAAATTATGGTATAGAATTTGTACAATGAAATGTTGTAAACTGTATATATCCCATGCACAACTTGAAAAAAATTGGTATAAGACTCATTTTCCATTACTAGTACACATCCTGGGGGTAAGACATGCAGTGGCGAACCCATGTGACTCACTTAATGTGTTATTAAAGTCCAGCAAGTGTTAGTGGAACTCTTGCTGGTGGCTCATGCTGGGTGTATGGACCCTTTGTGACATGACCTCGCTTATGTTAATATTAATTTTTATTGTTATTTTATTTAGAGATAAAGTTCTTTGATTGGGTTATATTTGTAATATATAAAGATCCATCAATTATGAGAAAGCATTATTATTATAGCAACAAGTAGCAAACAACAACAATGAATTATCATTTTTTGAGGATGATAATAAAGATTAAGATTCGATTTTGTTTCAAAAAGAGGGGATGGTTGTCCTATTTATATGTTTTAAATTTATTAAAATAGACTATTGTCTTGGCCTGAATGATGTCATTTTTCGACAAAGAAGATGCAATCCCAAACCCAACTTAAAATAAATGAATTTTTGTCCTTGCACAGCAAAAGCTCGCATTGCGTCCTCAGTTGTAAGCTTGTTTCTTTCTTGTGTTAATGAACCTTTTTTCAAATAAAAAAAAATGGGGGAGTGGAAGTTCATTGCAATATCATTGCAAATAACAGGCAAGGCAATGGCAATTGCAAAAAACTCTTTTTAATAAACAGAATATTTGCTGTACGACTCAAAATTCACTTAATATTAATAATAATAAGATGAAATGTTGATCGCACCAAAAACCAAACAAAAAGAAATTAATTTGCGAAAAATTATGACTTTTTATTTAATATTAATATTAATATATTTTTTATCGAGTAAACTGACTGACATTTGTTTTTTTAAAGACTTTATATAATTAAATTTCTTCTGCATTTTTAATTTTTATTTTAGTAAATTAATCGACATTTCTGATTCATATATAGTAATTAATAAGGTTTCTGGCCAAAACTGCTTCTATTAGTAGCCGAAATTGCCCAAATACTTTGGGCAAAATTTATTTTTTTATA